GCCGACACTTCAGCGAGCGGGGCGCGGCCAGCGACAGCGGCCAAGGATGGGCCCTATGGAGAAAAAACGAGGGCAACCTTGGAAAGTTGCTCATGCTTACTGTGCGGCTTGACTGCAGAGGAGCCGAGACGAGGCCCTCCCGGCATGGCCCGGGAAGCACTTGCGGCGCTCTCGGGCACAGGCGCGGCCAGGCCCTGGGGCAGTGGACGTGTATAGATCTCGCTGCCCTGGCAGAGAACCGAGGAGAGGCCCGAGCACCAGCTCTCGGAAGCTCCCACGGGTCTCTCGCGTCGGCGCCCGGTGGCGCCGCCCGCGCCGCCCCCGTGGGGCGCCTCCGCCTCGCCCTGGCGCGGGGTGTGTGGGGAAGGGGCGGCCAGCGCCCGACCTCAGAGATCCGCGCGGAGCTTCGAGAGTCTGTGCTCGTGATGGGCCGACTTTTTTGTTATCATTGCCGTAGGTAGGGGGGAGGGGGAGGGGGAGGAGGAAGAGGAGGAGGGGGAGGAGGAGGAGGAGGAGGAGGAGGAGGAGGAGGAGGAGGAGGAGGAGGAGGAGGAGGAGGAGGACCTCACCATGTTCCCTTCTCCCCCGTCCTACCTACTGTAGTGGTGGTGGACAAGTGGCCCATCAGCTCGTGCCTCTTTTTTGGATCTCGACTCGGGCCGTTCGCCCCCGTCGCGGCCCCCAGCGAGGGGGATCGCTGGTTGTGCACAATATGGACCCGCAGAGATCTAGAGCCCTTCCCAGGGGCTGGTTTCTCATACTCGGTCACGTTTCTGACGGCCCTGGGACCCGGCGAGGGCACTGGAGTTTGAAAGAAGCCAATCACCTCCTGTCGTTTTTGTTGCATGACGCGAGGGGACCGCCAAGCAGTTTTCAGGATCGATCCGGGGGACTCTTCCAGGATCGATCCCTGCGCCCAGCCGTGGCCACGAGAACCTCCAGAAGCGAGCGAGCAACCAACCTCGCCCACGTCGTCGTCGTCCTCCTCGGCCTCATCCTACTACCCCTCGTCGACTGTCCTCTTCAACCTCCCCCGACCTCCGTAACCTCGAAACCTCGGCGGGGGGCCGCCCACGCCTCGGGGATCCACTGACCCGGGTCAGTGCAGACCCGGATCAGTCGGGCTCTGCAGGCTCCTACAAGATCCTGCACGCAAGCCCAGGCCACTGCACCCCTGCAGGGCCCTGGCTCTGCAGGATCCTGCCAGACCTGGCGCTCTGACTGACCCCCGTTTGCACTGACCCCCGCCTCCTTGTTGTTGGATCGACGACGGCGCCCCTGAACTTTTCTTTTCTTATGAGCCGTGCGCTGATGACGCGCCTGCGCACACGTGGCGGCGCAAGCCCCAAGGTGCGTAGCAATGATCCACTGCTGACTCGGGCCCTCCCAGCCAGCGGCCTCCTCCGTGCGACGCCCGCCCACGAGGCGCCCACGACCGGGCACCAACCGGGCACCTGGCGAAGCCTCGACAGGCCAGCGGTGGCCGCGAGAACCTCCAGAAGCGCCCCCGGCCCCCCCTACCCCCAAAACCCCTCCCGCCCACCCTCAAAGCCTCGAAGCCTCGGAGCGATCTTCCCTCGGCGCGAGACATCGGACAAGGGCCCCCTGCTGCTGCTGTGCGCGTCCAGGCGATGGCGCCTCGCCGTCTGTGGTTACGAGGACCTCCAGCAGCCTCCCCACCCCACCTCGGGGCGATTTTCTCGCGGTGCGAGGACCCCGCAAAAGGAGACCACTGCCGCCCGCCTCCAGGCGACTGCGTCCCTCCGACGAGCACCTCCAGAAGCGCTCCCCCCCCGCCCCCCCTCCCTCGCTCCCCCCCCAGCCCCCAAAGCCTCGAGACCTCGGGGCGATCTCCCCGCGGCGCGAGGAAGCCCAACAAGGGGGAGGGGGGGGGGGGGCCCTGCCGCCCGCCTCCAGGCGACGGCACCTCCGGCCAGCGCGGCACCCCGCGCGGGGGCGACACCAGCCCCTCCTCCCGCCACCGTGGCGGCCGCGGCGGCATGCCCGCCTCCTCACCTGGGGGGGAAGGGGGGGGAGGCAGGAGGGAGGGGGGAAGGGGGGTGGAGGAAGGAGGGAGGCAAGAGGGGGGAGAGGAAGGGGAGGGGGTGGAAGAGGGACCACAGAGGACGAAGGGGGGGGGGAAGGGGTGAGGGGCAGCTTGCGCGTTGAAGCTCTCCTCGGCCCTCGAGGTTCGGAGATCGAGGCCCAGACTTCCAGGGGACTGATTCTTTCAGCCGCTGCGTGTTTTCATCGATGTCGGCATCTGCAAGGCCATCCTCGGGCTCCTGCTTGGCCACCAAGCGCGGATCTGGGATGCCGAACTGCTCCCGGGGAAGGGGCGGAGCGCTTGGGCCGCGGACTGAGAAAAATCATATCGTCGGATGCCCGCGTTCGAGACTCGATGATCGAGGCCTTCGCGCGCGCTCGGATCTCCTTGACTTTGGGCATACGAAGGCCTCCCGCAGACCCGCAGGGACGTCCAGAGACCTCTGGAGATCTCCGCGGGACCTGCAGGAAACCACGGACACAGACACCCGATGGGCTCAAACAGAAAGTCCGCGGGACCGACAGATCTCGACCCGTTCTCGAGGGAGAAATTTCCGCCCCAGATCAACACTCTCAGAGCCCGAAATGACGGAAACACACTTACGCATACGCAGCACAACGCAATCGTGGACAAGAGGGGGCGGGCACGGGGCGGGTCGCGGGTGGGTCGCGGGTGAGTCGCGGGTGGGTCGCGGGGTAGGTCGCGGGGTGGGTCGCGGGCGGGTCGCAGGTGGGTCGCGGGGGGGACAACGACAACAACGAGGGAACGAGGACACTGAGGACCTATGGGGATCTGAACCGCGGCATTCTTGAACTCCTCGGACCCTTTTTTGACCAGGATCCTCCCCTTGTTCGTCCTCTGGATGCTCCTTGCCCACGCGGATGGCGTCGGCGACGGCGGCCGCGGCGGCGGCGGGGCAGAACGAACGGAGAAAAGTAAGACACCGAGCGTTGGGAGGAGCAGGGACATCAGGATTCGGCGGCGCGCAGAGGGGGGTAGGGGGAGGGAGGAAGGGAGGGAGGAAGGCTTCTTAGAAGCAGGCTGCTTCTTAGAGGGCGCTGGCCTCACGTCTATAGACAAGGCCCGCGCCTTCTAAGAAGCAGGGGTGCTTCTAAGAAGCCTTCCCCCCTCCCCCTGTCCCCCCGCCTGCGCGTGGCCGAAGGGTGCCGCGCGTAACGATGCGATGAGTGCTACGAATGCAAATGCTCAGCGATGCTGCAGCCGGCGCGGCGCGCCCCCCGTGCCACCGCCCCACGTAGCGGCGCGCCCACCTGCGGATCATGCCCCGCCCTTCTTGGGGTTAGTAAGGGATCCTTACAGTCGGACCTGAGCAAGAAAAACATCCCGCAACAACATGAGACTCTCCGCTGGCCAAAACACAGAACATCCAAGGGTACCCTCCCCAGGATGCACAACATCATTCAACCAACAAACACGGAGAACATTAAGGTACCCTCCCCGAGCCAGTTGTAGTCAGGGCTCCCTGTGACAAAAATCTTGAACGAAGAGCCCTCCCTCACATTGGGTGTCGCTGCGTGCATATACACATTCGGATGCGTCTGTAGACAAAGTGGCCGGTGCGTTCGGCACAGGACAAGGTCGGAGAAAGGGTATATCCGTTTGCGGTTCGGTCCTCTTCCAGAACAGGTTCCACATGGTATTCTAAATCCCGAGCGAGGAATCCGTATTCAAGAGCCAATAACCAGGCCCTTAGGAAAGGAACCGTATTCAAGAATCCTTAGCACGGATCAGTCGAGAAGGAAACCTGACTAAGGAACCCTGAGTGTGGAACACTCACCCAGGAACCCTCACTAACAAACCCTTGCTAGGTGCTTCTCTTGAGAGATGATATCGGTGGACGTCCTGAGCCGCATATCCGCCTGAAAGAAACCATTAGTGAGGAAGCTCTTCAGCAAGGCACCTTTATGAGGAGTACTTGTCAAAATGCCCTCGGGAGCAATCCTTAGGAATAAGGAAGAATGGGTAAGAAGCCAGTAATAAGGAGTCTTCACTAAAGAAATAATAATCAGCATCCCCAGTTTCTCACAAAGAAATCCTTCATGAGGAAATCATTAGCCAGAAAATCTGGATCATCACCTCGTAGAAACGTCTTCTTATCTTATCGCGTGGCCGCGTCGGTCGCGCCAAACTAGCTGGCCGCCGTGCGCGCGAGCATGCGCGGCCTGGCGCGCCGCAGAGATGCACCAGGCAACGCCAAGCACTCATCGCAATCGACGCCGCATGGTTTTTTTAAACCAAATTGCGGGTGGGTGGTTGGGATGTTCGCAGGGGCGTGGGATTTGCCAACTCATTTGAAAAAGTCAAGTGCGCCACGTGTATTGCACCACGTATACTGCACAACATAATGAGATTGCACCACATAGATTGCACAACTTACATTGGACAGTGTAGACTCTAGAAACACGCTGCTCGCGGTCTGCACTTGCTAACATAAACTAAAAAGAGCTGGCGCTCCCCAAGCAACAATCCCTCGTACGTTACCACAGACAGGCGAGGGATGCTTACGACGATGATGAGGCCGATACAGAGGGGTTGTTTTTGATGACGATGGTGAGGATGGTGGTGATGATGATCATGGTGATTGTGATGATGAGGCTGATGATGAAGGATGGTAATGGTGAGAGTTGATGGTGGTGACGATGCTTATGTTGTTGATGATGATAAGGAGGCGGAAGAAACTGAGGATCTGGCCTCGATCTGCATGGAGGGAGGGGCGGTGTATTTACTCTGGTCCGCCTGCTGGGGCAGAGAGGCACGGCGGACGCAAGGTGAGGCTTGCCGGCGGTGCGCGCGCCCCCGGAGCCACACTTATCCGGGCGCGCTCCGACGTCGGATGCGCCAGGAGGGTAAAACTAAAACAGGTGCCTGCCGCGGCTGCGCCGCAGAAGCAAATAGACACCCAGGAGGGCCCGAATATGCCCCCAAGAGGCCTCTAGGAGGCCCCCGAGAGGCCTCCCAAGAGACTCCCAAGAAGCTTGGCCCCAAAAGGCGGCCAAGAAGCCTCTGGCCCACGACCCAGAAGCGGTGGCGGGACGCGCCTCACTCGCCGGCTACATACAAGAGTGACCCCGGGCAAGAGTGACCTTTGGTGCGCGGCTTCAGGGGGGCCCTGGGGGAATGGGGCCAAACCTAAGCGCGCAAGCCACTGCTATCGCATCCCACTCAGCGATCGGGAAACCCCAAGTGGGCCCGCGCCAAAGGCAACTCCAGCGAAGAGGCCCTCTCACGTGCAGCCGAACTGGCAGATGCAAGAAGCGACTCCCGCGGCCGCGACGCGAGAGCAGAGACCGCGCGCCCAGCCGAGCGGCGGGCGGGCAGCAGCGCCACGCCGCGCCACGCCGACGGCGCCGCCTCTTGGGCGGCGCGGGTGCGCCGCCGGCAGTGCACGGCCTCGCCTTTTGGAGGGCGCGGCTGCGGCGGCCAAGGCAATGGGCGGGCGCGGGTGTCCTCTCCCCGCGGGCGGGCAAGGGCGCGGGCGTTGGAGGCCCCTGGGGCCCAGGCATCGGGCATGGGCCCATGGGCCCTGCCTCCTTCTGGCGGCCTCTGGCGGCAGCCAGCGGCCCGCGGCGGTCTTCGGCGGCGATCGGCGGCCCTTGGTGGCCTTTGGCGGTGATCGCTCGACGGCCTTCGGCCACCCGCGCCTTCCTGCCCTCCCTCTGAGAGGCACGCTCCTGGCACGCTTCTACTTCTCGGGTGGTACTTGCGCCGCAACTGCCCGAGGCGGTTGCCGCCCCACTTGCGGCAACCACCCCCCGACTTGTGCCTTGCTGGTGGCATCAGTGCCACGTTTAAGCCACGGCGTCCGACCGACTACTTCGTGGTAGCGGCGGTCAACGGGAGCGGGCTCCTGCTCAGATCGGGGGCAGGGAGCCCCTTGACGCGGAACTCCTCTTCGAGCTGGTGGCGGTGCGCCCTCTGGTCAGCAGGCTGGGGCCGACGCCGGCGCCTCTGGCCGTCGAGGTGTCGGTGGCGGGCCTATACTTCCGCATCTCCTGGACAATGTGCTCCTTCAGCCGAGGCTTGCTGATCTCGGCCTCCTCCAGGAAGGGCAGCGTGGCGACGCAGCTGGCCTTGACCTCCCTGTGGCGTTCCCTGACGTCGGCGAAAATCTCGTGGTCCAGCAGCTGCTCCGCGGAAGGCCGCTTTTCTGGGTGGAAGCACACGAGCTGCCGCAGCACGTCGCAGTCATTGGAGTCCGCCTGAGGTATTCTCTTATTGAACCCTTCTCCTTTCCGGCTCGCGAAGCTCAGCAAATACTTCTTCGCCTCGACGTCGTCGACCATGTCCACCTCGGCTTCAGTCGGCGTGCCGATGACGTCGAAGATCATCTCCAGCTGGTCATCCTTGGCATGCCGGTGCGCCCCCGCGGCTGGGACCGCCAGTTCCTGTCCGTTCCCGTGGGGCGACAGCGGGAAGCACGCGGTGCCCCGGAAGAGCGGGCCGCGGTCCTTTGGATCAACTCCCTCGCGCATCCCCAGGAGCTCGGCGTAGATACAGCCAGCGGACCACATGTCGATCAGCTCGGTGTAGTCCCCCCGCATCAGGATCAGCTCTGGGGCGCGGTACCAGCGCGTCACGACGTGGCTGGTCAGATGCCTGGGCGGCGGCCGCCTCGCGAGGAGGCTCGCCTCCTCCCTGCAGGCGCCCTCACCGCCCACGGCGCGGGCGAGGCCGAAGTCGCAGACTTTGACGCTGCAGCCGATGTTGACCAGGCAGTTGGCCGGCTTCAGGTCCCTGTGGTAGATGCCCGCGGAATGCACGTACTCGGAGAAAGAAGAAAGAAACGCCAGGAGCATTAAACTTTCGGAGCTCCGCGCGGACTTCTTGGATCGGCGGAGCGCGCCAGGGGCGGCGCCAGAGGCGCCGCCAGGTGGGCCCAGCGCCGATCCAAGAATATCATAGAAATCCGCCGGGACTTCAGACAGTTTATGCCGATGTTTTTTTCTTATTCGACTTGAGGCCGCAGAGCAGCGTCCACAGCATCCGGCGTAGGTGGAGTGGGCTGAGAGACGTGGCCGACCGGCACAGCTTCCTCAGGTCCGAATCACAGAGTTCCATCACCACGTAAAGCTCGTTGAAGTCCGCGAGGCCGTCGCCAGGTGCGAACACGTCGAGGAGCTGGACCACGTTCTCGTGCCTCAGCAGCGACAAAATGGCCACCTCGCGCAGAGTGCGCCTGGCGTCCGTGGCGTCATCGAACAAGTGGTCCGTCCTCTTGATGGCCACCCTGCCGCCCCGCTCGGCGTCGTGGGCCTCGCAGACGCACCCGTACGAGCCCTGGCCGAGCCTCTCGATGACCTGGTAGCGCGAGGGCATCCTCCACTGGCAAGGCCTGGGGATGCGCACGGGCACTGCCGAGGCAGCCCAGGCTGGCCTCAAGAGGCCCTCAGAACAGTCTGGGGGGCGCGGAGCGCCCCAAGGGCACCACCTCGAGACCGCCGCAGACTACTCGTGGGGCCTGCCGATGACGGCCGGGACGACCTCGTCTGGCCGTCTGTGCGCGACCCCAACCCTCAGATCCGACGGCGCGAATCAATTACAACATAGCAGTAAAACCACGATCAGAGCACTAGACCCCATCTTTCTGCTCCATTCTTGAAGCCGGATCGATCTGTGAGGGTCCTGGGGCTCGAAGCAAGGCAAAGTCGCCCGTTAAGAAATTGCCACGCCAGGATCTGAGGGCCCCAAGCCGTACGATCCTCCATTGCCTCTTCTCTCTGTCGCTCGCCTTCCAGGTCGGGGCGGGGGGGGCGCCGACCCCGCGGAGCCCGCTGCCGCAGAACGCGCAAAAGCGGTGCTCGCTGCTGCACCCGCTGCCGCAACTCTGGCACGTCGTCGCCCCCGGCTGCCGCGCCTCGGTCGGGGCGGCTGGGCGGAGGGGGCCGAGGCAGGAGGACGAGGCGGCCTGGAGGAGGAGGAGGCGGCAGAACAGGAGGAGGAGGAGGAGGAGGAGGAGGAGGAGGAGGATGAGGAGGAGGAGGAGCAGGAGGAGGAGGAGCAGGAGGAGGAGGAGGAGGAGGAGGAGGAGGACGAGGAGGAGGAGGAAGCGCGGGAGTAGAAGGGAAAGAAAACCGGGGCGGGCGGGGGCGCTGCCCCGGTCGGCCTCTCCGAACGCGACCTTCTTGCCCTCGTCAGCTCTTCGCTCGCGGGCGGCGCTGGCCTCGGCAGGGCGAAGGAAGAACGACACTGGCGCCGCCATCGTCGGGGAGAAGGGGCGGGTCCTCGCAATAATGTGGCGCCGTTGCCTCTCGGCGTCGTCTTCCGTGCGTCTCAGCGCGTCCAGCTCGGGGAGGCGTTGTGAACCTCCTCGCAAGGGTTGGTCTTGCCGGAGGCGTTGGTGCCGCTCCTCCTCCTCCTCCTCCACCTCCATACCTGTCGTACCCCCAGACGTGTTGGTAGGGCGAGCCGGGCGTTTGGTTTAAGATTTCCTCACCATTTGTGATCCTGACACTTGAAATTGGCTACAATCTCAAGGATGGGGGATGGAGTTCAGGTGGCTTCCAACATGTGGCTCTCGCCCAAGCGCGGCACACATGTACATTAAACGTCAGCAGATGTTTCAAAGCTAGAAGGTGATTCCTTTTCAAAGCGTGACTCTCGCTTAGTGCCGCACAATTTCAGACAGATGGAAGGCGGTTCATTTGCAACATGTGGCTCTCGCCTTAGCGCCGCGCACTTTCGTCCCAAAAACCTGCAACAGTTTCAAGGGTTGAGCACAAGTGGTTTCCAACATGTGGCTCTCGCCTCAGCGCCGCGCACGCTCGTCTTTCACGCAACAACATAATATCGAGGACTACTCTTTCTCAACATGGGTTCTCGCTAGAGACGTCGTGTAGCACAGCGCTGATGCAGGGTAGCTTTTCTTCACAATGGAGCTCTCATCTGAGACTTCCTCGGAGTTCAATACCATAAGGGTAAACTTGTGCAGCAAGTGCACGGAGTGGATGTTCCTTCTTTGATAGGGGGATCTCACCAGACACCCCGTTCAACTGTATGATCATAGCTTTTGTAATCCCGACTGCGAATCAGACGGATGCAATGCAGTTCCTTTTCACAGCGGGGCCCTGTCCAAAATGGCAGGTCAAATTGCGAGGGTCTTTCAAGGGGCACGCTTCTTGAGGTGAAAAGGAAACTCTGTAGGGATGCGTGAGGAGGGGACTTGGGACGGGAGGGTGTATCGACTATACGCAAGAATGACCCTCGGTAATATTGACCTTTGGTACGGGCTTTCGCTACTACCGCATCGCGTTCGGCGATCGGGGAACCTCATTGGGCCCGCACCAAGGGTCACTCCGGCGAAAGGTCACTCTTGCGTGTAGTTTAGTGTATTCCAGCATCGCTGATGCAAGTCGGTTTACTCTGATCCTCCTCCTCCTCCTCCTCCTCCCTCCTCCCTCCTCCCTCCTCCCTCCTCCCTCCTTTCTCCTCTCTCTGCTCCCTGTTTCCTGCTTCCGATTGTCGGGCCGCGCCGGTCTCGCACTCGCACGGCGCTCCCCCCTCCAGGGCCACGCCGGCAGAGAAGCTGAGAAGCATCGCCAACGCGCCGCGGTGAGCCTCGTGTGGCAGCTCCTGGGCGCCCAGCGGCCGCGGGAAGCCCTCGTTCTGGACCCCACAAAAGGACGTGCGCGCCCAACCACGCACATGAATACGGCCCCCCCCCAGTCCGCGAGACAAACCTCGTGATACGAATGTTCGCGAAATGCGTACGTTCGAAAACATCGCGGGTTCATTGACGTGTATGGCCTTCTTTCGCTCCTGACTTGTGGGAGACGCCGCCAGTAGGGCAAACGCCGCGCCCATCCCGAGAGATAGGCAGCGGTCCACGGAAGCAATGCGCCAGCCCAGGAGGCCCGAGCGGTGAACTTCCGTCCACGGGAGGCATGAGCGCGGGGAGGGACAGAGAGGGGAACAGTGGAGAGGAATGGTCGCCAGGGCAGCAGCAGGATGAGGGGGGAAGGAAGGCGGGCGCGGGTAGATCGGAAATCTCCCGCCCAGGGTGCAGGTCAGGAGACTAGCCCAGGGCCACGGCCTGGGGGGGGCGCGGGAAAGGGAAAAGAACAAGGCGGGCCGAGGACAGGATTCTGGACCTGGGGCGAAGAAGCGTGGTTCAGGGGCCGACTCCTCACGCGCGGGAATGCGCACAGCACTTATGCGGCTGGTGACGCCCTGGCCCCACAGCCGCCGCGTCTGCCTGCGGCGCCGCCCCCACTGGAGCGGCGCCGAGGTGAGGTCAGCGCTAGGGGAGGGGGCCCATGCTGCTGCGCCCTCATGTCAGCATTGGGCAAGGCCGCTGCCTCAGAGGCTCCGCCGCGCCGCCGCGCAGGCGGCACTGGGGCGCAACCCCAGTGGGGTCACTGACCACAGGCCCCTCGAAGCCGCGCCCACGCCTGCACCTCCTCCGTCATGCAGCCCGCCGCGGCCAGGAGGCGCCTCCCGGTGCCCTCCTGCTGCCCGCCCTGGGGCGCACCGGCGGAAACGCTGCCAGTGCCACGGCGGCTCTGCGACAGCTCACGCAGCCGGCGGCGCACGTGGCCCCTGGAGGCCCAGCAGTAGGCGCCGCCGGCCAGCCCTGCTGCGGCTCTGGGGGCACCCTGGCGCCTGCGGATTCCGAGGCGTCTGGGCCGCCCAGGACCCGTCGACGTGCTCCGAGACCTCGAGGGCCGCTTGCGCCTGCGCGCAGCAAAGGTGCCCCTTTGATCCTGGCCCACAGACTGCACGCGGGTCAGCGGTAGTGTGTGGACCACCGCTTCTGCCACCCCAGGGTGTCCATGATCTTGACCCAGGCAACTCCCTCCTGACCCTCGTCCCCTCTGGAGGCTTCGAAGGTCTTCAGCGTTGTGGTTCTCCATGAACCAGGCGGACCCAAAACCAGAACAGATCATCGGACACCTTCTTCTCCTCCTCCTCCTCCTCCTCCTCCTCCTCCTCCTCCTCCTCCTCCTCCTCTTCCTCTTCCTCATTCTCCTACTCCTACTTCTACTCATACTCCCACTCCTCCTCCTCCTCCTCCTCCTCCTCCTCCGCCTCCTCCCGTCCTCCCCCCTCCTCCTCCTCCTCTCCTCCTCCTCCTCCTCCTCCTCCTCCTCCTCCTCCTCCTCCTCCTCCTCCTCTCCTCCTCCTCCTCCTCCTCCTCCTCCTCCTCTCCTCCTCCTCCTCCTCCTTCCTCCTTCTCCTCCTCGTCCTCCTCCTCCTCCTCCTCCTCCTCTTCCTCCTCCTCCTCCTCCCCCTCCTCCCCCTGCCCCTCCTCGTCCTCGTCCTCGTCCTCGTCCTCGTCCTCGTCCTCGTCCTCGCCCTCGTCCTCCTCCCCAATCTTCCGATGTCGCGATTTGTTCAATTCGGAGCTCCCAGAAGTCTCAACGCTTCCCTAGTAAGGGCAGCTATGCCTCCTGAGTGTTTTTTGATGGGTTCGAGGCCCGAATTTGGCACTGCAAAGACACACAATGGCGAAACCTCTCCATTTGTATCGAACCGCCGGATGTCTGGGTCCTCCTGCTGCTGCTGATGCTGCTGCTGCCCCGCCACTGGCCGAACGTATGGCTTCCCAACCCTCCTGTGGTGTTGGGTCCTCGTTTTGAAGAGACAGCACCCCGCGTTCCTTCCTCCTTCCATCCTCCTCCTCCTCCTCTCTCCTCCCTGCGTTTCCCCCACCCCATACAGCGTTTCGTTGCCCCGTGGGGAGCTCCACCGACGGCCCAAGTGCTACCACCCGCATGTGTCCCGCCCACTCAGTATAATTTTCGTGGCTCCATAGGGAGCTCCACCGAAGCTTCCTGTGCTACCGCCCGCATGCGTCCCCCAAATACAACGCTTCGTGGCCGAATAGGGAGCTCCACCGAAGGTCAAAGTGCTACCGCCCGCAGGCGTCCCCCCCCCCCCCCCCCAGTACAGCGTTTCGTGGCCCCATAGGGAGCTCCACCGACGGCCACAGTGCTACCGCCTGCATGCGTCTCCCCCACCTAGTACAACGTTTCGTGGCCCCATAGGGAGCTCCACCGACGGCCCCAGTGCTACCGCCCGCATGCGTCCCCCCCCACAGTACAGCGATTCGTGGCCCCATAGGGGGCTCCACCGACGACCCCAGTGTTACCGCCCGCAAGCGTCCCCCCACCCAGTGCATTGTTTCGTGGCCCCATAGGGAGCTCCACCGACGCCCCAGCGCTACCGCCCGCATGCGTCTCCCCCACCAGTACAGCGTTTCGTGGCCCCATAGGGAGTCCACCGACGGCCCCAATGCTACCGCCTTCATGCGTCCCCCCCCACGCCAGTACAACGTTTCGTGGCCCCATAGGGAGCTCCACCGACGGCCCCAGTGCTACCGCCCGCATGCGTCCCCCCCCAGTACAGCGCTACGTGGCCCAATAAGGAGCTCCACCGACGGCCCCAGCGCTACCGCCCGCGTGCGTCTCCCAAACCCAGTACAGCGTTTCGTGGCCCCATAGGGGGCTCCACCGACGACCCCAGTGTTACCGCCCGCAAGCGTCCCCCCACCCAGTGCATTGTTTCGTGGCCCCATAGGGAGCTCCACCGACAGCCCCAGTGCTACCGCCCGCATGCGTCTCCCCCGGCCAGTACATGGATTCGTGGCCCCAGAGCTCCACCGACGGCCCCAGCGCTACCGCACGCATGCGTCCCTCCGCTCAGTACAGCGTTTCGTTGCCCCATAGGGAGCTCCACCGGCGGCGCCAGTGGCACCGTCCGCATGCGTTTACCCCATCTATGCGTCCCCCCACCCAATACAGCCTTTCGTGGCCCCATAGGGAGCTCCACCGAAGGTCCCAGTGTCACTGCCCGCATGCGTCTCCCCCCCCCCCAGTACAGCGTTCCGTGGCCCCATGCGGAGCTCCACCGAGGGTCCCAATGGCACAGTCCGCATGCGTCTCTCCCGCCAGGAACAGCGCGTTTTGGCCAGGGAGCTCCACCGAAGGCCCCAATGGCACAGATTGCGTGCGTCTCTCCCGCCCAGAACAGCGTTTCGTTGCCTCATAGGGAGCTCCACCGAAAGCCCCAGTGGCAAAGTTCGCAGCGTCTCCCCTCCAGTACATTGCTTCGTGGTCCACAGGGAGCCCCACCGACGACGATGCCCACAACTGCAGATGGTTGGGTCCTTCGGCAGTTTTATTGTTCCAACACGGGACCCCTGGAAGTCCCAATACTTTCCCT